AATATTAATGTTATATAAACTAAAGCAAACCAACGATATTCAGATACGATATAACCAATTTGACGACTTAAATAAATTGAAATACGACGAAAATATGGAAGAATATACCAAAGTATACAACTTGATAGATTAAATAAAAAATGAGTTAATGCTATTTATATGGATTGACGGAAAAATAGACCAGTTTGAGTAAGAGAAGCAAAAAGTGCTGTTATTGTTGTACCAATATTAGCATCAATTGTTAATTCATAATTACGTTTAAGTGAAAGTACTTGAAGACCAACTAATAGTGTTAATATCGAATAAAAAACACCTAAAAATTACATTATCAATTTAACGATAATGATTCCATTCAGTCAGGTTAGAATGATTATGCTAGGTAAATATTTATCATCATATTGTTCACAAACTATCCATAAACGAAGTCCGAAAAGAGGCAGACACAATTGAATGTTCGAACTCTCTCATCACAATGTTTTTTTTTGCAGTCTTTAAGCATTTTTCAAGTTAAGGATCATTTCAAAAATGTCAATTTCGAAATTTATATATATTCTGATAGTCCTTACAATGAGATTCAAACTAGTATAATTTTTTTTTGTCAAAAGAAGAAGGTTGATTTTTTCGGAAAATTCCGTAGCTAAGAAATATGAACTTGCGTTGTATGAAGAATAGAGACCACAACTTTGGCATGATATGTATTATTTAGACAATGAGTCATCTTTTGATTGAATGTGTTTATATAGCATCTACAGTTCTCTAACTACTGTACTCTTAGTCATATAATAGTGAACTCGATAAACAAGCTCTTTCTTAAAAATACTACACAAACTGGTCATCTAGAGAGATAGGAGCCAGTCAAAAAACGCGTTCTTGATGAGGTATCTTTTATAGATGATCCTTAAGTCCTTCAATTTTTGATTAAATTTTACATATTATTGTTTATTAAATATGCGCGTTGATGCTAAGGCATAGTCAAAATGAATAAGATTTTTAATATTCAATACAATTTTATGATGCAATTTTAGTTACTATTATTAAAGAAAAAAACCGCTAATGGATGGCGCATAGTAAACCAGACAAAATGTTTTCCTCTTTTCATAGTATTTCCTAACATATTAGAGACTTTGTTTTTCAAATAATTTTTTTTTGTTGGCGTAAAATTTAGAAGATGACTATCTACTCAATTGTCTAATTACAACGGTCAACAAACGAAAAAATTTTCATAAAGGTCTCGCTAAAATTTCAAATATGCTACAAAATTCTGTATCGTAAGAATTTGTCGTGACGAAAATATCAACAGACCACACTTTTAATACAACACTTGGAAAGCATAATCAATTTGTCATTGTATCTTTCAACTGATTCCATATGTTTCAACTTTATTGCAAACTGAGTACTGTTAAGATTTTATCTTCTTCTATCTCAATCTATCGATTTAACTTTCAATTTCTCAAATATTTAATTCGATAAATATTCATTGAAAAATACGTACTACTACTTTGAACAAGTATTGCTCCAATAATACCAACAATAATAAAAACATAACCAAGTAAATATTCTTTCCATCCATGAGATTGAATATGAAGAATTTTTTTTAATGTATCATCAATAAAACCAATAATTATTGATTTTAACAATTTAATCATAAATAAAAGTATTCCAGTAAGAATTATAAGAGAACATATAAATAAAATTATTCCAACAATATTATCACCAAATTTTTCAATCATTGATCGAAATAAATATGATAATTGAAAAATTTGCTCAAAACAAATTAAATAATTAATAGTTTATAAGTTTTGATAGAGCATAGAAGTAAGTTTTAAAGTTCAGCAGCTTATCTGATATCTATAGTATGTTACCGGTTCTCTACCATTTTTAGCTTTATTCATTTCGAAAAGTTTTTTTTTCGATGCTTTTTATTAATTGAAAAGTCAACAGGTAGATAATATTCGATTGAATTATGTACGAGTGATTGCATTTTTTTGTGCTAAGTCAATCCATTCATCATTCTTCATGTTCATCTAATTTAATAAAAACAACTGTATGATTAGAAAGGGGATAAAAGGGAACAATCTATCATCATTTGTCAAAATGATTCTATTCAATATTCACAGTAGATGTTTTTAAGAATTCATTTAACACAAGGAGCAACAAAGTTTTTTAAATCATCCCAAAGTATATATTTTTATCTTATCATCTTCGCTCTTGTTGATCAAGTTGTTTTAGAAGCACGTGTAAAGAAAAGACTTATCAAATATTGTGTGTACAATGATAAAAAAAAATTAACTATTATCACCAGGCGATTCTACTTTGAAAATAAACTTAAATGAACCACAAAACAAAATTTTTGCAAGATTATAGAAGAAACATATTCTCACGGAAACTATTGCTCATCCTTTCGATGGTACTATAATTTTGATTAATCTATATCAATTAATAACAAAGAATAGCAAAAGATTGATCCTGTGTAGTTGTTCGCTGATCTTACATTGAACACGTATATTAGTTTTCAGAAAAAGAAAAAAGAAAACAAAACTGAAATTGTCTCGTATATTTTTACATTGAATTGACCAAATATTTTGCTTTGACGAATAATTTTTTTTTATTATGGTGCATCTCTCTTTTTTCTTTTCTCATTCTTCACGTCTGCATATATTGATCTCGACTAGAGAAGTTGTAAGATAAAGAAAGTAGTGTCTATTTTCATGTAATCGATCATGGTATGAATATAGAAATGATTCGATGGAATGAAAAATGTCTCAGATCAAATTAAACAATTTTCACTAGTCTTTGTAGTAAAAGAAATAATTTTATTTTCTACTAATCCATTGTAAAAATTATTTCTAGATTTTCTTTTCTTCCTAAATTGTCTGTAACTCTATATATCTACAAATTCGATTTGAACTGTTCAACTCAAAATAAGTATTTCTCTTGTTATCATCATTTGATTGACGTTGTCTAAATATCTCTTACAGTTGTTTACAAAACTTTCGTTAGTATTAGCGTTTTGACTTTATTTTTTAAAATCAAAAACACAACATTATTATCAGCATGATGATGTTTTTTTTCTGTCTTTCTGTGTTATTATATACATAATATTTAAGTCTCCAATAAAAAGGGCTAAGATTTGTTGTATTCTCTAACTCTCTCTCTTCCTAATTGATTTTTTTCTTTTCGTTCATTCGTCTTTCCCTTTTGCTTTACGTATATATATTCAAATTTGAATATATATGTCGTATCAAAGTTAGCATATTTATCGAAGTTATAACTTCTAAAAATTATGTCATCGAAGTTGTAACTTCGATGACATAATTTTTAGAAGTTAAAACTTCGATAAGACATATATACGTCAAGCAAAGGGAAAAGACGAATGAACCAAAAGAAAAAAATCAATTAGGGAGAGAGAGTTAGAGAATACAACAAATCTTACAAGGAAAGGTCCTGAAGTGATGACTCGAGTTGAAGGCTGATATTGTGTGGGTTTGCTACGCTAAGTGCCCTATGTAGATCTCGATAACTTTTTCTGCGCTAAAAGTTCACACTAAAATAAAATGTGTTGTATTATGTGTCGCATGTGTTACAACGAGCTCTTCGTGTCGTATTTGCGTTCCCGGCTGGACATATAACGAAGAACGCAAGAAATATGACACAAAGAGCTCGTTGCGACACATGCGACACATTTTATTTTAGAGTGTTGTTTTGGTTAGAAAAGAAAATAATAAAAATGTAAGATCATTTCTCGTTGAATATCCTTAAAAATTATTCATCGATATCTTTATAATTGTGACGGCATTTATGTTCATCATCACTTATCTTCTCAGCCATAAATGACGGCAACCACTCTGTGACGGACGATAACCATTGGTTCGACTTGCCTCTTTCGCTTCTTTCTCTCTTCTAATTTTCTATTTTCGTTCTCTCTTCGCTTTCTTTCTCCGCGTTATTCATATTTCCTTCAAGCATCATTAAAAAGAAAAAAAAATCACTTTAAAGATTACTGTCTTGCAAAAAAAATAAAAATAAAAATACGTGAATCAAATTCTAAAGTAACAACATGAATAAACAACAATATACACTACAAAACTTAGCATTTTTACCTAAATTTGAACCAATGACACCGAAGAAAACCTACTAT